CAAACAGTGGAACAAATGCCCTTCGGATTGAACCTTAAAATCCACAGCAGGAATAAGCTGAATATGTTTCTATCTTCCGTCTGGGACGCACTGCAACCTAAATGAATAAATTAATCTTACTTTATTTTATAAAACTGCTCTTCTTTGCTTTTACTGTTGCAAACTTCCCAATGGTAAGAAAACAACCCCTTCCATCTTTGACACTCAGCAGTCCAAAAACAGTGGAGTTTGCCCTACTGATTCTCTGAGCAAGCTTGACAGATTGCTTGATGGGGATACCTCGGAAGCCAGCAATCTTGAAGGAAAAAACGGAGGGAGTGGTTGTCGTCTTTGCTGCTTGTAAATCCATGTCCCCTGCTGCTTGCTCCCCCATCCCCAAAGCCCATTGCTGTCACATCTGATTATTTCTTTCCTCATCTTCTTTCTCTGATGGGGATCAGAAGGCCACAGAGCTCTTTCACCTAAATCTGTTAAATTGCAGAGTAGGCCATCAATCTTCCACATGAGCAGCGTGCTTAAATAACCTTCCTAAGTGCTCCCGGTTTGTTCAGTACCTGAGCCACCAAAGAGGTGCCTGTGCTGACGCCTCTGAGAAAAGGGTGGTAGTGGGCCGACGTCAACTGCAGGTGCTTTTTTGCCATCTTCCTGTGACAGTTTCAGGCTTTGAACAATGATTTATGATTTAATAAGGGGACAGAGATTCATAAAAAATAAGCAAGGCATCAATTTATTATGAGGTAATATCCAAAGGAAAGCACAGAATAGCAGGCCTTAAAATAGGTGTTCACGACTGAGGTACTTCAAGAAGCTACGGTATTTCTGATGTCTCTGGGTTATGTGTTTGATTGTCAGTTTATTGGTGAAGTGGGATACAGAGGTATGACAGGCCAAATCACAGGGAAATGAGCCAGAGAGATGAAGAATCATTGGTTCCCCTTAATGCAAGGGTTTTTAGTGGATATCAGATGGAATAACTCTGGGCCCAAAGTGGCTGTGGTGTCTCCAGTCTGCATTATGTGATTTAACTTGATAAAATGTATGGCAGGGAAGAAATGAGTAAAGTATATCTTCAGGAAAAGCAATAACATGGATAGTTAAGTTTCTGCCAGAGCATTCTGCATCTGTGACAGCTGACTAAACCCTGGCACTCCTCACTCAGATTTGTAGCAACTCATGTTACGAAGGATTACGGATGTGTTAGATGTCCAAACATTATGTTCGTGGTTGAGGTAATATCTTTCACATCACAACATTCTTAAGAAAAACAGTGTTTGTTTTTATTTACTGCTCTATGAATCCGCTTGTTCATTTTGAGAAGTAAAATAATATGAGAGATGTTTCTACTGCCCCCCCATCAAACTTGGGGGTTTCTGGGTCATCATTGATGACTGAATATGATTTTAATTTTGGCCCAACATGGTTTAGAAAAAAAAAATCATTTTTCTCATTTTGTTTCCTACAAAAATGATTGCAAGAATAATCTGGAATCAGACAAAAGGTGCATTGAATCTAGAGATGTATATTGCATGGATTGTGGGCTATGTGTCATTACCAAGGCCTTTTCTGAAGCAAATGGGCCGTCTCAGATCCTCCATTGCTTTTTTTTTTTTTTTGAGGAAGAGGGAGCAAAAGGCAGGAGAATCACACAGTTCTCTAAAGGAAAGTGTACCTCCTCCACACCACCACCACCAAAAATATCTGTTGAAAACCAGAAGTAATGAGTCAGTTATTTTAATTTCACTGGAAAGGGGCTGGTGCAACCCATAGCAGGTTTGGATGGTAGTAGAAATTTTGTCCCCAGACCCTCCTAAGCTGCTTTGTGTAATGTAGTCTTTTGTGCTGCATCCAACTCTCCTGAGTCAGATTTTCGTGTAAAGTCTGTAAGCAGTGAAGGAAGACAACAGTCTAATGTGTGATACTTCACTCCCTGTATCTGATATTCAGAGCTAAACTCACTCTAAATGTGGGTTTTCCCTTTAGCTAGGATCCACCAACAGCTTTATGGTGCGTCTACATTAAACAATGTTATAGCGGTTTCATTCTGTGTTAGCCACCATGGCTCTGTAAATCCTGGCAACTGCAGTTTGGTAAGGCACTTAGAATTCTCTGCCAGAGACATCTATTGCACTCCTTTCAACAACAGAAAAGAATGCCAAGCAACTTGCTAAACTACAGATCCCAGGATTCCATAGGACAGAGGCATGGCATTTACAATACAATGAAGCTGATGTGATTATGCTGTATGGCTTCACTCTTATTTTTTGCAGGTTCTTTTCCTTAATCGAAACCTAATCAGCAAGGCTTAGAATTTTTTCCTTTTTTAATATTTAAATAATTTCCTTCCACCTTTCACTCTCTCATTTTTTTCCTTCTTCACTTGTTCCTCTTTATTAATGTCTTTGTGTTGTGCAGACCAACATCTAAAAAAATAAATTGGGAAGAGTCTGCAGCTATGAGGATATTGTATCTTTCTATAATCAGTTTGTCTGACCTTATTTTAACATTATGCATAGTAATGTCCATCGGCACTTCCTGAGGCAATGGATTCCACTGGTTAACCATGTGTAATGTTCAGCAGCACTTAATCCGCATCTACTCTGTGTCATTGGCATACATAATAATGATTCATGTTTAGTTTCCTAAAGTATTTTTTATGAAATATACTAGACGTCTTTAAGTAGCAGTTCTGGGAGTGCTAAACAATTGATAAACTACGCTCTTAAAAGTCCATCCAGCTTAATGAAATGGTATTTTCCTATGATTACGGTTTGGACTAGCTCAGCCTACAAGGGCAGATGTAATTGAACTACTGGCAGCAAGTAATAGTACTAAGGCCATCAGCAGCCACTAGAAGTAATTGTGATTATCGGCTTACTTTCTATATTTCATTTCCATCTGATCCTCTGCATGTACACACATATACCCCACCAGCAACATGCAATTTAAGATAACCCCACATCTGATGAAGTGGACACTAATCCATAAACGTTTCTGCTGTAATAATCGTGTTAGACCAGTAGTCTATTGCCTAAACACGGTGTGGATGATCCATCACATAAGCATCCATCTCCCTCTCTGGAAGGCTTCCCATTACGTAACTGACCTCACAACCAGTAGGAGAATGGGAACACACCTAGGAGCCTCCAAGAGCTGGGACTGAAAGAGGCTTATATACTTATCTTTCCACTCTACATTTAGGCCATGCTACACCAGCCTTATGGTTTAGCCACGTCTTTTTAAACACAGAGATAAAGCTTACAAAACATATGAAATTAGCTGTCTTGTGCATCAGTGGCTGCATGAAGTCTCACTGGTTGTTCACATCAACTGCTAGATGAACTTCTCTTCTTGCTCTCTGCACAAAAGGGTCTGCTCCCAGAAACAAAATTAGTCCCAGTTGCAGGATTTTTTTAAAACAGAAAATTGTCTAAACAGCTACATATATTTTTTCCTTGTCTTCAGCAGCTCATCTACCAGTTTCAAACTGCACATTTTCCCCCTCAACTGCACAGTTTTTTGTTAAACTGCTCGCTAAAAAAAAATCCCCCCAAACCCCCAAATAAGCCTGCCTGGTTGTGGCCTAGTTCTGAGCCGCTACAAAACAGCTTCATATTAGTTCAGCTCTTATTTGAGACAGAGGAATCTGTCAATTTGGTTTCTGTACAGTGTCTCACTTTCCTTTGTGAAGTGGGAAAAAAACTTGCATGATACTGTCACATACATTTCTCCTAATATATACATTTTGTATACGTTTTCTTAACACACAGATTCTTGCAGCAAAGTTACCCTAATGCAATGTGTTTCTGTGCATTGTCTGCAGTAACATGCATCACTCTGCCTAATAAATACATTTATGTACAGATATTTTAATTGGCGAACTGTACTGTAAAAATTTCAGAAAGCATAAAGACCAAAGTATTTCTATACTGATTTTGAAAAAGTGAATTAAAATACAAATGTTGCATTTTACAAAATTCTCCCCTACACTTGTTACCATTGAGTTTATGTGATTCCTCAGAGTTTTTATGTAGTTCTAGTTGGCCTGTAGCCATTCATTGGGCGAAAACATTATTCATTCTTCAGTACAGAACAAAGTGGTCCGGTTTTAAGTTATTCATCATGGTACTGTGACTGTAGAGACAACCAGCTCTGTGACTTCTGTGTTGCTCCATACCTTATGCATTAATTCTGTAAGTTTGTATTCCTCAGACAGGTGTATTACGTGTTCTGTCATACCTATTATCATATATACTATTATTTTTAGAAGCTGTTGCCCCATCTTTATTCTGAGGCAAAGAAAAAGGGAACCACAAGATTCTTAGAAAGAACCTAGCGCTTGGAAAATTTTACTTTTTGACGTTGTTATGTCTCGTCTAGTTCTTTGTGATTTATGGGTACTTAAAGATTAATGATCTCCAAATTATCCTATCATTAAATAGCCCTTCTCAGGTTTACAAATATAAGCCTGAAGCTTCTTCTATTGAATCAATCCATCTCATGTTAGGCCTTCCTCTTTCCTATCATTATTGTTTGTGCCCAGACAGTCTTGCCTTCTTACAATATGTCCACAGTATAATAGCCTCAGTTTAGTAATTTTATTTTTTTTAGTGAAAAGTGCAGGCTTGATTTGATCAAGAACCTCTTTTCGTTTCCAACCCATTACAATTCCCAGAATCACTTAGCCACCTCAGTTACTAACCAGCTTGACTGGGGGATTTTGGGAGTTGTAATCCAGAAAACTAAACCCTCCAAGCTCTTTCCCTCTCTAGAAAAAAAAAGTCCCATCCATGGGATCCCATTATGGGAACAAAAACTTTAGCATTTAGATAATATTTACCAATCATCCTATCATCTAGTCATTATCCATTTCTGTTGATTTCAAGTTTTGGGAAAATCCCTACGGCAACACACACACACACACACACACAGAGAGAGAGAGAGAGAGAGAGAGAGAGAGAGAGAGAGAGAGACTCTGTATATATAAAAACCATTAGTCAAACCTGAAAAGTGGAGCTACGTAGTTACTTGGGAAGATCCCAACTTTTCCTGTGACCAAGGACATTCCTTTCAGCCAGCCTTCACGGTGCTTTCCCAAAATACGAATGCCGTCTCCTTTTTGCAACTCTAGTTCATCTGGACGATGAGCTGCGTAGGAGTGCAGAGCAATGCACCTAATGAAACACAGGGAAAGAAAGAGCAATACTAGGTACTCGAAAGAGGTAGCTCCGTTGATGCAACATAATGAGGATATGACACAATAATGGTCTTTAAAAAGCAAGCCTGGAATACCTTCTTGTGACTTCTGCTAAACCAACAACAGTGTGTCTGATGCCTCCTCAAATAACCTTTCTGCCACACTATGTGGGAATGCCTTGGCGGTTGCTGAATCAGATTAATAAATGTATAACTCATCAGAATTTTAAAACCAACACTCCTGTGTGGGCTGACATATGTGTATAAGCTATTAAACTCAAGATTCAGAAATGCACTAGCCTCTTGGGTGAGGGGGAGGAATCCAACATCCCGAATCAACAAGAATCACAGGGAAGAAATGCACATGAGAACCCTATAATACTTGGTTTTTGACTAGAACTTGAGGGACTTGCTTTCAAATGCCACACTGGCTATTAAGGTTCCTGGGTCACCCTGGTGTAGCACTCTTAAAGCCTAACATGCTTTAAAGGAGAATAACAGAAAGAGAGGAAGATCCTTGAGCTACAAAGACAGCAAATAAAGGTAACAAATGAAAGAAAGAAAAACAAGTATTGGGTTGGGCTCCTACATTTATTCTGAAAACTTGTAGTTGATGGCGTGTTAAGCTTCAGCTTCTGCTATTTTGATCTTCAGGTGCATCTCCCAAGGTCACTGTAAGCTGGAGCCAGTTTGACATCATGTAATTATTAAGTATGCTGGCTGGATAGTTCATTGGGTTAGGTATCTGGCGGCAGAGGCTGGGAGCTCGGTTCTCCATAGTGCCTCCTGGGAGAGCAGCAAGCCTGTGCAGCCTTGAGCAAGCTGCAAATTCCCAATCTTGGCAGAACTTCTGCAATTCACTACATGTTTGTTTTACGATCCCTCAGCCAGTGAACAGGAGCTGGGCTGAAAGGCTTCGCCTTCCCAATGCCAGGATGCTTCCCAGAAGAAGGGAATGGTAAACTCTTTCTGAGTATCCTCTACCCAAAAACCCCTGAAAAGGATCGCCATATATCAGAACTGATTTGATGGCACACAATTATTAATTGTTATAAATGTATTCTTTTTGTGTCACAGCGTGGCAGCACCCCATCACAAATGTTTTGTAGGTCTTTTAACTTAGAAAGGATTGACACCTCTGTGTCTAAAAACTCTAGAAGTTAAACTGAAATAGATCCGTTTCTTGTTGCACAATCTGGAATTTTATTTTTGTATCATATTCTGCCAAGCCAGTTTGAATTGCAGATTACCCAAATGAAATATTTAGTTTTTGGTATGTGATGTCTGCGGGAGAGTAGTCTACCAGGGCTTTCATTCCATTTTCTGCATGTACTTCCTTTTCATTTGGCCTTGACACAGTCCACAGGAAAATAGCATCATGGGGTTTCGTTGCTAGGGAACAGCATCTTTGGCCAGGGCAAAAAGGCCCTCCTCACACAATTATAAAGGACTTGGCGTACGTACATATTCACTGAAAGATGCTTCTGTAAATGAGGAAGGGTGACAATGGCTGTAGTGTGCCCCATGGCTTCAGGAGTGGAGTAACAGGAAGCACTGATCTGTATAAGAGAAGAAAATGATTTAAATGGCTATCATTATATTCTTCTTCAAAGGAAATGCACCTGAACAAGAGCCCAGAAACAGCTGACATCAAAGTACAGCAGAGTGTGCTGTTAAGGGATACCTCATTTACCTCATTAGCAGGACTGACTCATACGGCTGAATATGTGGTCAAATATTTAAGAGGACTTTAATAAAGTTTCAGTCATTCGGGTAGCAGTGAGTATGTGGTTGGACCAGTTCACTTGTTATTGCAATGTTGAGGAAGAAGGATTATTGGTTTTCCCTGAAGGACTTGAAATGCAGCATCCCTCAGGATTTGAATCTGTCACCTATGCTGATCATGGTACTGTATACACATATCCATTGCAGATATTATGGTTATTAAGCACACGACTGAGTATCTCCAGTATTCTGTCATAACTTGCTAGTCAAAGGAAGTAAAGTAGCAAAACGTTTTCAGCTTCAATAGACTCCTATTGAAACCAGGAATTCTTAACAAAGCATTTCATTCCCCTCCCCTCTCCCCCCCCCATGGATTTGTGCTGAAAGCACTTTCCATTGCCTTTTTCCAACAAGTCCATACAGGGTTCAGTGGCAAGCTTGCCCCAGCTCTGTATGAGTGTTCATTAAACATTTAAACATTGCCACAAAACTGGGGTGCAAATTTGGTGTCCCTGTCTGTGTGAAGATGTAGATCGGTGTTTCCACAATATGTCTCCTAAAAAGGTTTGACAAAGGGTAGTCTGTTTTTGTATCTCTGCGATAAAACTGGGACTGATAGCCAGTTGTTGAGAGTGAATGTGTTTGGAAGTCTGATTTTTGAATAGAGTCCTGAGGATTTCCCAACCTTCAGAAGATGTGTCAGTCAAGATGGAAACATACTTTTCTGGACTAATGCCAACCCATATCTATATGTCCTTTGCCCTTAGTGCCTCATTGTGCCTCATCAGATTTTGCAAAAGCTGTTTGCTTTCTCCTTTCTCTGCTGGAACTCCTTTGTTGTTTCTTGGCTGTCTCTGTGTTTCTCATGCTGAACACCATCTATTGTCTTTGGGACATTCACAAACAAGAAGTGAAGGAGAGAGTCACTCCCCTCTTGTCCTTCCTAGTAACTGGTACTAAGATAGCTGCCTCTGATACTGCAGGTTTATTGTGTCCACTAATCCTCTCTATAGCAACCTAAGCTATAATTTTAATGGTTTTGTGGGAAGTAATCTGTTTCGTGTGTCCTGCATTATATGTTCCCTCCCTTTCAAACTTCAAACAGTTAAAGTAGAGATGGGCACAAAGTTCTGGTGGGCACCCACTCAGAAGCAACCCCCAGAGGAGGCAGGGAAGTTGTGACACTGCTTCCGAGTGGGTGCCTGCCAGAGGGGGCAGGGCGCTGAACCACCGAACCCTTGTTGTGGTGGTAAATGAACTGGGCCAAACGACTGAACCAGCAGTTTGTGCCCATCTCTCGGCTAAAGTATGAACATCTTCTTTATCCAACTTCTCTCAATGGCCAGAGTGTGCTCGAACAATTACAGTGAGTACACCAGCTATACCTGTTTCTGGCCATGTGTGATCTGGCTGCAGAGAAACATGCCTCAGTGACATCCTGTTTGGTTCACTGTAATGTATTCTGTGTGGGGCAGCCTTCAAAGAGTGTACAAGCACTGTATGTCGTCCCAAATGTTGACTGTGACCAGTTATAAGGAACACCACAACTCCCTTGTTACAACAATTTCTGTTTCCTAGCATGTTTCAAAGTACTGGTTATAACTTATAAGGCCTATAACATCTTGGTTTAGTCCAGACTATCTAAAAGTCTTCCTTATAAACCTCCTTGCTTTGAGATGTTTCATAGAGGCTGTTTTCTCAGTCCTGCCCCCCTCAGGTGTATGTTTGGAAAAAACTTTTTGCAGGTTAGCATTGTCATCATCATCATCACCATCCTCTGGGATTGATGTCAGGCTGTAATCCCCCAGTTCCTCCGCTTTGCTCTTTTTGAAGAAAGGGACAACATTACCCATCCTTCAGACATCTGGCACTTCACCCATCCTCCATGATTTCAAGAAAATAATAGACAATGTTTCTGAGAGTTCTTCAGCCAGTTCCTTCAGTACTCTTAGATGCAGCTCACCCAGATCTGGATGTCTGAACTTGTTCAAAGTAATAAGATATTCCTTGACTATTTGTTTTATCAATCTCAATCTGCAATCCTTTCCCCACACTTGTACTTCACATTTGCCTGGAGGGTCATATACTGACATTTTTGTAAAAGATTGATCTAAGGTAGCATTTCTCTCTTTTCTTTGTTATTTTCCCCCATTCTCACTGTGTAGCTGAGCCACAATATCTTTGCTCTGTTTTTTCTCTGGCTCTTAATGAATGGGAATACAAAAAGAAAGCCAATCCCATTGCTGCTACAACTAGCCATAGTTTGTCCTCACATAACTACTGTTTAACCAATAGCAGCTACACAAGTTTTGAACACAAAGGACAAATAATGGCTGATTCTAAGCACGGGTCATCAGAACTAAAAAGCAGTGAGACCCCAAAGCATAAAGTTTGCATGACTAATTATTGTAAACAGAAGTCAAATGACTGGATTGTTGATAGTGGATGCAATAGTCAAGTACTCACTCAAGAGAATTCTTTAATAGCATGGGTAGAACTGCTGGTTGAAATACCCACCTAGCTAATGGCGATTCCATGGATGAAAGGAACAGAATGTAGCATCTTCAAATGCGAATTGCCCCATGAAATTAATGTAATCACAGAAAATGATGCAGATGTACCACATCTAAACAGCATTATGACAGGCGTGTCTCAGCTTTAAAAAAGGTTTTGCAATAGACCTTTAGAATGGAAAGTGAATGATAAACAAAGGCAATAAATTATATTTCTAACCTTATGATTTTGATGATGTTCATAAACAGAATATTACACACACACACACACACACACACACACAGAGAGAGAGAGAGAGAGAGAGAGAGAGAAGCATTGTGCAACCTTAAAGACTGTTATATTTTAATGTCAGCTTTCATGGATCACTTCTTCAGATGAAAGCTCACATTAAAATACAACAGCTAGTCTTTAAGGTGCCACAATGTTTTTATCTCTTTTGGGGTGTGTGTGTCAGATTCTTGTGCACACTAAAGTGGCTACGTCTTCATAAACAGCCTTTCAGCTCATCAAGCAATTACAGCAGGAGCACAGAAAGAGAAAAATAGCCTTGAAATATGGTACAGATTATCTCAGATGTCATGACACAAAGGTGATTTTTCATCTAAAGAACCAGAATAACATAATGGACAGAGAACCTTACAACAATGCTGACATATGAATGTATGCTTCATAGACTACTAGTGTGTAAGGATATTTTTTTTAGATATTTGGAAGCCTTTTATAGAAATTTATGTATGTATAAGTATTTTTCCTTTTCCTTCTTTTCTCTCCCCCTTCCCTAACTTCCTTTCGGGTTACAGATAGCATTGTACTTCTTGTTTTATTGTATTGCCTTCTCAGTTGTTTTTTTCTGTTTGCTTCCCCCCCCCCCAAATTTTATCAATAATTGCTTTTGAAAAAAGAATCAGAACGTTGCTACAGGCATCAAAGCCAACCCATCTAAGGCAAACAGCACAAATTGGTGTGTATGCTGTGTCTAAAGAAAGGTGTTATACCTTCATTGCCATTAAGAACTGAGAGGAGAAGCAGTAGGATGCTGGATCTAATGCACAGTGACTTATATTCCATCACTAGAGAAAAACATATATTCTAATCATTGTGGCTGGATTCTCAAGGTATTGTGTTAAACTGTCTACTAAGGGAGCAGAGCTCCTTGCACAGGATGTTCCAGACGTACACAGCCATGTTGACCAACAAGTTCAAAAGAAAGCTTCAAAGTAACAATGATGGTAAGTACATCTTGTGCCACAAACAAACCTTCTTGGAGAAATAGGGCAATTTGAATGGAGGAGTATGGCACAAACATCTGAGCAGAAGGGCATGTTGACCAACAAGTTCAAAAGAAAGCTGAAAGCCCTTCAAAGTAACAATGGTGGTAAGCACATCTTGTGCCACAAACAAACCTTCCTGGAGAAATAGGACAATTTGAATGGAGGAGTATGGCACAAAAATCTAAGCAAAACAGCTGAAATAAAACAAAGTTCTCTTTGGAAATGAAAAGATGCATAGATTACAAGTCCATTTAAGTGGTTCTAATTCATACAGTATACGGAAATGGACCAATCTCATAGGCATGCCATAAACAAGATGCTATAGCTCTGTCTTCTACCGAAACAGGGCAAATATTATGGCTGCAGCAGCTACTAAAGGACTTTAGAATAGATGAAGAGATTCCAGTCCAGGTATTGGAAGTTAACCAGAGAGACACCAAATGGTCAGTAAGGAGATGAATGCAAAACGATGATGGGACTGGGGGGGGGGGTTCTTGCCTGCAAACTTAAAAAAGCAAACAAAAACCCCCAATCTTGTATGGTTCCACTCTTAACACTGGGTGTCTGGGTGCTCAATGCCTGCTTCTAAACTTTAATGTTTTTTCTACACCTCAGAGTCTCTGAGATGGCCCCTTCCTTCCTATTGCTTCCTTGTTAGTTGCTGTTTGTCTCTCCTCCATTTTCAGTTCTCCAAGATACATATTGGGCTCCTAACCTGCTAGAGGGATTTGGAAGATGGTTATTCCCTTTTTAGTGCAAAGAAAAACTTGGAAAGATCTGCCCAGTCTCACTCCTTTCCTTGGAAATGGAAAAATGTTAAGTCTGGATGTCTTTTGGTGAAAAGAAGCAAACAAATAAAATCCTTTTACTTGCAGTTCATGTATTCCAAATCCCGCCAACTGGTTATAGGTCCAGATGAGCCCATTTTTTCTCCTCTCTCAGTCTGCACTTCCCTCACTCCCCCCTTCCCCTCAGATTTGTAATCAAGTGCTGAAACGTTGGCTCAGACTAAAAAGCGGATAACCAAATTCCAAATATTGCCAGTAAGA